TTTTTTTTTTGTGACCAAATGTGGTATTGGGCATTCATCATATAGTTTTTGTTTTGTTTTTTTCTCTCTTTCATTTTCTTTTTATTTGTTTATAACGAATTTGGGAGTCTCATTGATTTTGGAGATGTGCTGAACTTCTTTTTGGAGATATTAATAGCGGCAATTGGTTTGAGGAAAAAGCTGACATTTTACATATGGTGATTGATATATGTCGTTTTGTTTGTCTAATGATATATGAAAAAATGTCGTCTGTTTCTAACGTTGAATTTTCGATTTGCTCAATATCAAATTGAAAATAGAAGATGATATGAAAAGTTATATATTAAAAATTAATTAAAATTGATAAAATATCATGTATTCCACTAAAAAGAACTTTAACTAAAAAAGAAATAGATTGTTAATTCATTTATTTCACTTGTATTTCAATTGTTTAAAAAAATCTATCTCTATCAGTTAACACTGCTAAATAGTATTGTCGGCGTGTGGGCGGATATAGGCATGTCAAAATGGGACGGCGGGGCGGGTAGCCCGTAGCCTGTCGAAGCTCGTCGTTTGGCGGGGCACGACGGGCCGACCTGCCATCTTAGAGGGTTTTCAAAATGCTAGTCCGACCCATTCTGGAGAGTGCTCTCGACCATGGCGATCGTCATCAAGATCCTCATTGCTTCTTGTCTCGCAGCTCGGACTGATGACCAGAGAGCTCCTTGAGGTGAAGAAGCATATCATAGGCAAGGCCATGCGTTGGGCCGTGTCGTCGGGAGGCTACGCTATGACTGGTTGTGCATGGATCGACGGTGATCTTTAGTTGTCAGTGATCGCCCAAAAACTTGAGTCGTTTGTTGTATTTCTTGCCTTGGTTGGACGTAGTGTGGGCGACAATCTATCATTCACGTGTGGCTTAGAAATCTATCTCTCCTCTTTTTTGCATGTTAAGCTTGGGTTGAGATTATGGTATGAGAATAAGTTCCATAAATGGCTTATACATAGGCTACAACAAAGACCTAAAAAGGCTAGGATTTGATCTCCAGTAGGCCAAGAAATAATTGGATTGTAGTCCACCCTATTTCTTAGGTCACTAGTAATAAAAAAATTCCACTGAATATTTATTATTGCACTTCGTTCCCTTCATCCCAATTATATAGGTTATACCATCCTCTATTTGTCTCCCTATGCCAAAGATATAACGATTGTTAATTAATTTAATTACGGACAATTTAATTAGTTAACTTCTTGATGTTCCGAGACTAGTACCACTCAATTCTTATTACTATGCTGGAAATCCACATGCAGGGACGTCATGAACCTAGTGCACCTGTGCATAGTGACTGAATATAATAGACAACAAACCATGTGATTGATAATAATTTCCAACTTTAGCGAGTTATTGACCAGACGGAGTAAGCCAACTATTAATAAGACGTGCCCGTCATTATCGCACGTCTTAAGAGTACAATCGATATCATGAGTTATAGTTTATTAACTAGGTCAGTATAAAATAAATATCCTACCTTCATTAGTTAAGATAAACTAACTCGAATTATGCTATAACCATATTAACCATATTGATAGGTTTGTCCATTGTTATCACAATAATGAACCTTACTTATATGCACATGGAACCGGTATTCCAGTCGTCTTTGTGACGACGCCACATTGTATTATCTTCAATGTGAACAACATGCCAAAGGCAAATCCATACATAAACTAATTGCACAACATTGATTAAACATGATTCTTTTATTCCAAACAGAAATAATGTTCAAACGAATCAATGCTTTTAGTTATATCCCTTTATGTTTCTTAGATCATTGTGTCCTTTCAGGTCCTGAGTTGTTTAGGTAGTCTGAACTCATTTAGGTCACTTAGGTAGCTTTGACACCTTTAGGTTGTTTTAGGTAGTTTTAGCACTCTTTGGGTCACTTAGCACACTTGGATCATGCTTTAGGTAGTTTTGCCACCCTTTGGTCACTTGGGTCGAGCTACCGGCTATTCTAGTTGAGTTTCAGTATTTAGGTCGATTTTTAGCATTTGGGTCATCTGACTAAGCACTTTGGGTCATCCGACTAAGCACTTCGGGTAGTCCAGGTCGAGTTTTAGCATTTAGGTCATCCGAATATGCACTTTGGGTCGTTCAAGTCAAGTTTTTAGCATTTAGGTTGTCCTCCTAAATATTTTGGTCAACCGACTAAGCACTTTAGATTGTTCGGGTCGTCAAGCTTTATCATTTATGTCATCACACTAAGTACTTTGGGTCGTTTAGGTCGTTCGGGTAGGTACTTGTCTTTAGGTCATTCGGATAGGCCGTTTAGGTCCTTTGCATGTAGATTGGGTCGTGTAGGTTGCTCTTACTATTAGGATCGTTCGACTCTGCTAGGTCGTTCGGCTCAATTGGGTCATTCGGCTTGATCGAGTTGTCCACATTTAGTTGTGGTCCTTTTTAGCTCTTCTAAGACCTATTTATGTCAATTCGTTCTTTTAGGTCTCCAAACGGCACCCATAATGAAGTGTCGAGGTCGCTTAGTCTGTTTGGGTCTAGTAAGGCCACTTTTTTGGGTGGGTTAGGCCTTTAGTTACTTAGTATATTTTTGGTCAAATTTTATACTCCTAAAAGACCTAAATGGGTCAAGTTTCATACTTAGCACACATTCGGGTCAACTTCATACTTAGCACGCATTAGGGTTATTTGGCTCAGTACTTGGTCGACTGACCTCCTAGAAGATCACAACCCGGTCGCCTTGGTGACCTGATTGAGTTGACTAGATCGAGCTGTCCACGTCTAGCTATATTCGCATCTATATCAACCGTATCTCAACATACAATAAAGATATATCCATATTTTTACATTTCACAATGTAGACATTGATTTTTTAATATTTTATTAATTAACTCTTTATTTATTTTCTAAATAAACAAGATAAATAATTAATAATGTAAATATTTCTTTCACACTAAGTTAAATCTTATAATAAGAAAAGATATTATATCAAATCATGAAGGACCAATTATATTGATGTCTCGTTCTCCAAGACTCTTTCTTCTACACCTATAAATATGAGCTCTCTCAATGCCCCAAAACACATCTTACGGTTCATGTCTCAAACTCGGGAGCTCTCAAGAACTCTCTTAAAGATCCAATGTTCAACTAGGAATCAAAGTCTCCAAGTACGTAGTATGCTTAATGGGAAAGAAGGCCAAGAAAGGAAAAAAAAAAGGTGGCGATTTTTTTCCATAAAATAAAGAAAGGACATCCACTTCTCTCAAATCAGTCCAAGAACATTAATGGCATTCAAGCGACATTCAAGTCGCGTTTGTTGAAAAGTTCAAGCAATACGACGTTTGTTATGAAAAAAATCTATCAGGCCCTTGACTCAACGTTATTCAAGCCAAAATCTAAATTATAGGAAAATCGAATAAGGAAGTCCTCCAGGAAGTTGTTTCAAATTAAATGAAGTCCAAATCGTCTATTTCGGGATCAAGTCTCTCAGCCACTCAATTAACGTCAGAGAAATTCAAGCTCAATCATGAAAAGAATTCAATCGTCAGATCCATTTGAAGATCAAATTCAAGTCCACGAAGAGAATAATTGGAGGGTCCATAGAGTTATTGTACCCACAATGTCGTTTGATCGAAATAAAATCAAGTCGTTCAAAAGTTTAATATTTCTTATAAAATTCATTGTAATAAATTTGGCACGCCCACGCTCAAGTAAATTTGTTGTTACACAAATCATATAAAATCTAGTTTAATTTTATATGAACTAGAAATGTTCCTTTTTTTTAATAGAAATATCAAAATCCTACATGACAAAGACATCCCAAATAAAACCAATAAATGTATTGCTATTGTATTCAAGTATTCTCGTAGGCAATACAGGGTAAGCTTATTCAGTGATCAAGCTAGTGAAAGACTTTTTTTTTTTTTTTAACATCTTTATCAATCTAACTTTTTTTCTTTTTTGTTTAATCAATTTTCCTCCAGATACATGTGCAAGCTAACCAACGCAAGGTTCGGCTTCTCAAAACTCATTACAGCTTGTAACGTGTAATGAACTATTCATATAATTCGAAAGTTTGTAAGATAATCTATGATGCCAATCTGTACAACCAATAGCAATAAATTTATACAAAAACTCACCAACAAAAAAATTTTGTACCCACTATTTCTCGATTTATGCGTGTCATCCTTGCATAAAGGCCATGCTAATCTTCTCTATATCGTTCCAATTTTGTACCCACTATACATAGCTACACTACACCAAATTTTCTCCATCTCAAAAGCTTTCTGACCAGCCATTCACCATGGCCTGCAAGATGCCCATCACCATATAAGTATGTATATTACTGTTAGGCAGTCTCATAACTGCATATCAACGGGCTATAGACATTCGTTCTTAATCAAGGGTTGTTGGAACGTAACCATTTGTGAATCCAAACTTGAATATGTGAAGAGGGACCAAATGGATATAATCCCAATCTTCAGAAGTACCCCTCTGACAAATTTAATGAATTTAAGGTCCTCCTCCCAACAGCCCCCGAATAACTTGCCTTTTTTTTTCTCCGGCAAGCTCGATTCACTTACAGAAAAAGCCTGTCATTGAGAAGAGATTTCACTATACCCAACTCCAATTAACAATTTTTATGTTTTCTTATATGGTTATCCTGCCTTAAAGGGAGACCGGCAAACCATAATTGTGAAACGATCTGATCCGCCCATCAAGTCCGGCGCTCACAATCACGAGGCCCCAAGCGTGGGATCCAGACGAGGTCTGGCAGGAATTCTTGAAGAGTTTGTACTGTGATTTTGTGAGAGTTGTGACAGGAAGTTTCTCCTCAGGCCAAGTTGCAGAGCCTTTGGAAAGAGGGTTGTGGAAGTATTCGTGGCTGAGGGAGAAATAATCGGACCAACTGGATTTTGGGCCGGGCCAGGGTATGGCAATGGAGGCCTCGGACAAGAAACACTCGAAGGACCTAATGGTTTTGGGTTTGGATATGGATTGGGCAGAAGTGTAGTTCCATATGTAAATGTTGGAGTCATCAGATGCTGAGATGATGTGCTTCCCATCGGAAGTGAACGATGCCGAGATTTGGTTTCCACCATTTCGGAGGCCTGTATAGACAATTCAAAAGAAAAGGAGTGAACGTTACATTTTTTTTTCCATAATAGTAATGTTCAAATAACATGTAATAAAATAAACTACACATTATATTCGGGTAGGTCTAATCAAGAAAAAATATATATATATATATATATAAATTTTGCTAGCATTACGGATGTTGATAACCAAACCAATATAACAGATAAATGGATCTTACGAGAAACTCCCATCCAAGTTTACTATGAATCTTTAGGCACTTATTATGCGATTTATGGACGCTTTTGTAAACAACAACAGTCCAGTAACAAATCGATCGATGTGTGAGAAACATAACTTCCAACAGTAATGAAGTGCTTACCCTTGTACTTCCCAATCACATTCACTCCATCGATAACTCTGACTTTAGAATCCGCACAAGTGACCAATATTTTGCTTGGGTCTCGTGGTGAAAACTGCATTGACCAATTAAGGAAAGATTTCAATCTAATAGCACTGGCCACGTGGAAACTAAGCAAGAAAAGCAAATTAGAAAACGACTGATAAGAACTTTTGAAGTTACCTGAAAGGACATTATTCGTTTGCTGGGTGACTTCTTCTTACTGGTTATACACACCTGAGCTCCCAACTGGAAGTGATTATCTGAAGCAAACACAAACCCATGAAGAGTTACACTCGCAAATTTTATCCTGAATCACCAAGCAATATCCCAAAGCTACGGGTCTTACTACATAAAGAACCGCCTCTGTTTCATAATCACATAGATTACAAGTACCCTCACTTCTATGCGGTATTTGCAGTACCTTAAGAGTTCCTAGAAAATTCAATAGATGATTTTGGGGTTTTTTTATATTTATGACAAAAACACATTGGTGTTCTTGCAGTTACCCATATTTCCATTTATTGTCATAACATATATGGAGCCTCGAGCAAATTACTATAAAAAAAGGTTCTACTCATAGTGCATCCTTGAAGCATATCAATATCAAATGAGCAAACTAAAACTTTGAACAACCGTAACAACGAAAGAAAATCTGCCAATATTTATGCATGTAACGAAAGAGAAGACCGGTCCAAGAATTTGACAAAACTATACCTGATAAGTCAAAATTCCGGCAGGTCCCAGTAATAGAGCCAATCATACCACTCTGTATCACAAGCAAAGGAATTAACAAATTAGGACACCTTAGATTCGGGAGTTTGTAGTGACAAAATGTTAATGGTAGTGTCAAACGGACCTGACCATCAGGTCTGTAACAAACAGCAGTTATAATGTCTGTTATCTCTGTCCAGCCTACAACTTTGCAATCACCAATCGCCCAAATCCGGACCTTCCCATCAATGGATCCACTGATGAAGCAATCATCGTTCACCGGGTTAAAGTGTATTGAGGTCACTGTGTAACATAAGGTATGGTTTTAGGCAAAGATCATACTAATGCTAAAAACGAATATATATTTTTTCAGGACAACCACAAGAAACACCCTGAGTTTGGCTTAATTACAAATGATACCCAAATTTCTATTGACTTCGTAAGAAAATGCAACTGTCAGTTTCGAGCTGAATTTTTCCAAGAATATACCGTAAAGTTTGTGAAACAAGAATATACATCAACGGTACTTGTAGTTTTATAATATATCTGGGTTTTTTATTTTATCTTATTTTGTCTTATTTTGTCTATTGACTTACTAATTTTGTTTGTAATTAGTCACTGCTCTTGGTAGCATATGTACCATTCTCCAAAATTAGCCATTGTCACAACTTCAAATATACCGAGTTACAATGCAGTTTGGTGCATACCATAATCGCTATGCAGAAACACCTTTAAGCAATGATCAACTCCAACCCGCCATAAACGAACGGTTTTATCAACTGACGATGAAAGCAAACACTGCAAGGTAACACAATTAGAAGTTATTAGCTCAACCCAAATCTTGAAATTTTGTTTATCAATGTATTTTTCTAAAAACAAAAAAGAAAGTAAATATATGTATGACATCCCAAACATACATTATCATGTGACCACGAAAGATCCAAGATTTCCCCTTCGTGCCCCTCAAACACATGCAGTGGCTTTTCATGAATCCGGAAAACCTTTGGAGGGAATACAACACATGCTGACTCTCGCATTCTTCTGAAACCACTGCTCTTGGATTTACTTATTTTATCGGTTTCCACAGTGAGAGGTCCCGTTTCTGACAGATTATTTGCCGAAAAATACACACAAGATGGATCTAAATCTGGAATGTCGATATCATCCATATTTAATCTCTCATCCTCCACCACTTGCCAGATTCTGACAATCTTATCTTCACCAGCACTAGCTAAGTACTTGCCATCCAGACTAAATTTCATCGCCACAATTGCCCCTTTGTGGGCCTCGATATCTTGCCCGGTGAAAAGGGCTGAAAATTCTTTCGACCTTCTCCAGCTGTGTCGAACCCTAATCTTTTGTATCCTCGTCTCATAAACTCGGCTAAAATCACTCCGGCCCGCCATGCAAGTCATTAAACGCAATTTTCTCAACCAACTAGTTTTCGATTTGTTCTCCATTCTGGTTGCACTTGCATTGTCCTTGATTTCCCTCAGTACAAATTGCTCAACCGAGGGAGAAAACCGAGAGGAACTCTCGAATTGCCCCCTTTCCACAGTCCCATCATCAATACATTCATTTACACCGTTAAAATTTGAATTCCCATTCCTACACTCCCTCAAACCTAAATCCTCGGTATTCCAACGACTCGACGAAAATTCATCCTCAGGAAATCTTAGTACGGCACCACTAGTCTCCATAATTCTGCGACTGTCTCCTATGTCAAAAGGAGCATCTTTGGAAGTTTCACATATCTCTGCAGAATTCTCTCTTTCAAACTCACCCGAATCGAGCCTCATCAACCGAACAAACTCCCTACGGCGCTCTTTAACACTTTGAGGAGCATGGATCCACACATCATACTCCCTGTTTGTAATAAATGGGAAATCATCACAGAACAACTCCGGTTCTTCAATAATCTGATCTACCGCATCAAAATATTGAGATTCTTCACAGTTGCTGCTATTGTCCATCATTTTTTTTAATTCAACCCATGAACAAGATTAAACCCTCCTGCAACACCAACCAAAAAAAAAAAATTCTTTCAAGACCTAGGCAATGTATGTTCTTACCACTTATCCCTTCATATACAATAAATAATAAAAATAAATTAAATAAAGAAAATCCATTTGAAGTAAAAGGTAAATGACTAAAACAAAACCAAATAAAAACACCATTACCAAGGAGGTTTGAGCATATCCACAACTAAAGCATATGGAACCTAATTCCAGCAAAAACATAATATACATTTATATAAAAAAATTACACACAAAACATAAATTTCAGGATACAAAAAA